CCATTCTTTCCTGCCTATGCAGGGGGTTGGACTCAATGATCTATTGAGGTCCCTTCCGACGCCGGCATCTATGAATCTATGAATAGTACATTCGACCAGGTTTATCTCAAACCGGTTTCAGCCATTTTCAAACTGGTTTATGTTCACCGAATGTTTGTTCTTTTACAGAGTTAAACCAGTTTCTGATCACTTAAACACATAGGTGACTGGTAGGTGGTGCATGGGGGTACACATGTCCACCCTGATGGGGCCGGTGCCCCCCCTAACAGCCAACACTGATGCTGTCGGTAGGGCTGGTGCCCCTCCTGACAGGGCCGCTGCCATCGGTTCTGCGGGTGCCCCCCAGATTCAGGAGGTACCAGTCACTCATGCTTAAACCAGTTTATGTGTAATGTCTGTCCCTAGCCTAGGTGGCTGATACCCTGCACCTGCCCAGAGCTGCACTGCAAGTCTTTGCCTAGACGTCGGAGACCATTTGTGTATGTTCACTGTGAGACCACACCAGTCTCTCTCTCATAAGCACCCAATTATCTTTTACTCTGTTCTTGTCCTGCTTTTAAGTGTTAAACTGTTTGTTTCTTGTTTTAGGGTTTTAAAGCAAGAATAAGTAACATCCCAACAATAAAGAAATTTCTGCAGCCTGGCAGCCAGAGGAAATCAAAAATAGAGGAAAAAATGGTTCCCCAAGTGATGAAAATTTTCTACGGTTAATTTGTGACATGACTTTAAATGATGGCAACCATGTTACTTGCTGTATTTTTGCATTAACTGTTAAAACTAAAGTGCAATTAGCTCACACTGTGTAAAAATTATAGCAACAAAATCAGTTAAGACATGGTAAACATTGCGTGCAAATGTTTCCAAAGTAAATCTGCCTGCTTGCAGTCACGTATGAAAGGGCTGATTGACTTACAGCATACACAAAACAGAGGGATGCCTTTTTAGAATTTCTTCTGAAGAGAATAAAATGAAATAAACCCACTCATACTCTTGTTTGAGTAAAATTTTTATTAATGACTGCAATCCAAGTAAGACAGAGGTGTGCAAAATACAGCCCATTGGCCAGATCCAGCCCTAGGGATTTTGTCCTGCCCACAGTGGGTCCCTTGGTCCTGCCCCCAGACATGATGTGGGGCTAGGGCAGCTTGGCAGCTGAATTCACTTTGCAGCAGCACCAGTGGTGGTAGCTTCTTTTGACTGCTGCTGCCAGTCACCACTGTTGGACCCAGCCCTGCTGCCTGGGCACACCAGCCTGTTTCTCCTGCACCCACTGCTGGAGGCACCAGGCAGAGCAGGACAGGATCTCCATAGGGACCAGCCTGAGACCTGCGTGGACATAGCATACGGAGCTGAACAAATAGGATGGGGCCACGGATGGGTGGGGAACAGTGTCTGGGAGTGGGATGGGAGGGCGGGCAGGGGCTGGGATTAGGATCAGGATCACAGCATGGGGCCGGGGCCAAGGCCAGAGCTTCAATCTGTGGCCCACGTATCCCTGCCCCAGCCCTAGCCCCGGCCCCACCCCCATCCAACCATCCCACTCCTGGATGCTGCTCCTTGCCTTCCTGCAGCCCCATCCCATCTGCCAGGCTGCATGCCCCTGTCCAAATGGGTCCCAACCAGTCTCCATGGAGACCCCGGGATCATGGGGCAATGACAGCATGGGGCAAACCAGGAATTCACTCCCTGCATGCCCCTGCCCATGGAACTGATGACCGTCACAGGGGCATGCAGGGAGCAGATTGCTGCCCTGTCCTGGGGCCCAGCCTTGTGCTGCCACCACCCAACAGTCCTGGCCCTGCCTGTCTGTCCCACTCCTGGATGCTGTTCCCTGCCCAGCCAAGAGTGGAGCTGAGTTTTGGTGAGCTGTTGGAAGTTGGGGTGAGAGGTTCTGACCCAGTGTGGTGGTGCAGGGGGTGGTGCTGACCCAGCCCATGACAGTCCCCAAAATTCCCTAAGTGGCCTTCCAGCCCAAATAATTGCCCAACACTGAAATAAAAACTCTCCAATCTGTCTTTCTTACATTTGTGCAAACTGTTTTGGCCACACAGTGAATCATGAAGTACAGTAGAGTCATTTTATAAAAGACCATGTTACATGCTGGAGAACATTTTCATAACAGGAAAAGGTACAGGCTGACTGAACCACTGTTAACATAAGATGCTTTTGGGTACCAAACCAAACTTTTCTGAACTTCAGGTTTATGGGCATAGGAAGTTACGGTTCAGATCTGTCACATCAGTAATTTCTCTTTAACTAGCTTTGTCTCAGAAATTATTTCTGTACTGCAACATCTCCAATGCTGTATTTTTAAAGTGATCACTTTTCAAGGGATCAATACCCGTGTGCCTTCTGAAACACTTGCATATTTGCTTGTTCCAAGCAGCTAATTAGATGTCATTGATGAAAATGCAGCAGCTCTAACCCTAAGATTCTAGGTGAGAAGAGGAATTTGGTGTTCGCTGCCTGAACTTTATCATGAAGTGTTTAGGAGAATTATTATTTGAGAGCTACTACACAGCTTAATACTACCAACTTTTTCTAGAGGGAGGCCCATAATACATTTCCCATTTTGGAAACGGACTGATTTCCAGCATAAGGAGGAAGGATAAAATTCATTTCTTGAGAAAGTGTGTATTAACCAAAACTAACATGTCTGCAAAAAGGTGTTAATTATGCCTCATTTCACCCAGCCAAGCTTTTCCATAGAGTACCTTTGGCTGGGTAATCACTGTTTCTTTGTGGGAAGATGTGTTTGGAAATCCCCGCCTGCAGCGATAACAATTGTAGCAAGGAATGCTAGTTGTTAGGCCTCCTTCAGACCAATGAAAGAAAGGAGGATATACAATACAACTCTAGGCACTTCTGCTTTGCTTATGCACAGCCACCAGTCCCATCTGAATCACACAAGGAGGCTCTCTGGCCCACTGCGGGAAGGCAGCTCTTAGGGCTCTGTTACACTTTATTAGTAGTATAATGAGGGTGGGGCGAGGAGGGCACCAGCTCTGGGTGCTGATTTAGAGGGGTGCCAGTATGACCCTTCCTCTCAGGACTCTTTTTCACAAGACAGGCAGCCCTGTGCAGCCTGGCCGTAGGCAGCAGATCAGGCCCTGGAGTGTGGGGGAGGGGGGCCCTGGGGGTGAGGGGGATGAGCGAGATGAGTGGAATGCCCCCCTCCAGGCCTTGCCATGGGAGGTGCCACCCTGCAGCAACAAAATATGGAGGGGGGAGATTGCAGGGAAGAAAGGGGTCGGGGAGAATGCAAATCGGCAGCAGAAGCAGCCCTAGGGGTCTGTGCTGGCCAGACTGTTACACCAGCATTCACCAAGCCCTCAGCTGCCCTGACATGTGGACTTTCCTCTTGTAAAGATTTGTCAGCACCCACAGGAGCAGTAGAAAGCTTAGGCAGAGCTGATAAATGCAACTGAGATGAGGGGGCAGCAACAGGGAGCTTTACTGTGGAAACAGCACAGAGGTGGGAAGCTAAGGAAGAGGTAGCAATGCAGAACAATGGGCACTAGGCTACTCCGGACTGTGCAGCAATGGGGTGCTTGCTATAAAAGGAAACAGCGTGATTTTAATTGGCAGTAGGCAAAGGGGTTTTTCCCATTCAGGGCTGTATGGCCAGGTTAAGGTTTTGGGTTTAATATTCAAGATGCAAACTGTGCCCTGTAGACTTTACCATCTTCCTGTGCCCACCTGACATACTGAAAGGAGGCTTTAAACACTGGATTGACTGTGGGAGGGAGCTGTGTTATAAATGACTTGCTCATATTATAATACTCCTTAGTCTTGCTTGTGTGATCAGGGCCAAAGAGCATTAACCATTGCACAGAACTGTGTTGCAGGCCTGGACTTTACCTAGAACAATATAACAGAGTGAGAAACTGAACCTGCAAATTACAGGGTAAGGCAGGAGGCTCTCAGAGGCCCACTTCTTTGAGCTGCGCTTGGAATAACAACAGCAGCAACACCAATACCTTCTCTCTCTCTGCCGGCCTCAAACTTTTTAGTGAGAATCTTTTCTCCCACTTATTTTTCAAATCAAGCAGGGGCCGGAGTTAGAAGTAGGCATCATGCCCAAAGGAGCAGCCAGTTAAAAATCACTCAGTAGAAAGCATAATCAACCCCTGTCCTTGCAGAGAGACTTTGCTACAGGAACTTTGAGGCAATCCGGAACTAAGTAACTCCATCTGCCCAAGGGTGGGAGTTTTCCGTCCCTATAGGGCACCAGCGGAGACTCCCCTCAGAAGGTGGAGCTACAGGGCCTGACTCTGAAGGCACAGTTTCTTCCTTGAGAAGAGCTGGCAGGATTCACAGGTTAGTGCTCATAAATAACAGGAGATTTCTTATGCACTAACTGCTGGGTGTAGTTGTATTCGTGTGAGTAGCTTAAGGTATATTTGTTAATGCAGATTTTAGCCACAGCTTGACCCTATGCCAAGTATGTTTAACAGTCCTAGTAACTCTATGATGTTCAGCCTAGAGCAGGGGAGAAAGTGGATCGCTAGGAGGAACAGGATTTGTTTGCTGAGTGAGACAAAGCAAGGCAGGCAAAGGTGGCAGGCGGGTAGGGACCTGCCTGGAGCCTCTTGGCTGCTGGGGCTGACTCAAAGAGAAGGGCAGGCAGTGATGGCTGCAGGTGGGGAGAACAGTTTCTACTGCTACACTTTCAAGTGGGCAGGCCCATAGCAGACTTGCACTGCCAGGTGATCTTGCTTTTGTTCAGACTTGTGTTGTCTGTCACAGCTTTGGCATAACTAAGTTCACTAACTCAATCTAGTGTGGAGGCGGCAGGAGAGGCCTGGAGCAGACAGCCTCGCTCCCTCCCCACCAGCCCTCTCATCCACCGCAGTGTTTGCAAGTGGGGTTTACTGTTGACAGAAGAACCCTGCAGCTTAGCTGTGGCTCAAACTAACAGCCCGGGGGGGGTTCCTTCTACCCCTGACTGCTGCTTCTGCTGCTAGGAAGAGGTTGTGACCCTGCTAACATTGGGCAATAAACTTGTTTTACATCTCATTAGAATTGCTGAATTTCTAATAATTATTCTTGCCCCAAATCGGGGACAAGTCATTTTGGGAAACTGAAAATTGAAAATCTAGTGCACATTTTGGACTGGGACAGTTTTTGTTTTGATGTTGATGTCTTTTTCTTATTTTTTATTTTTTGCATTTTTTTTTACCTTAATAAAAGCAATGAGTGAATAGGTTTCAAACCAAACATGAAGCGCTGTCTCAAAAATATCAAAATGGGATAATTTGACAATTTAAAAACCCTTTCCCCCCCAAATTCCTTGCTGTGGACTCTTTCCTGCAAAGCATTTCTGTAGTTTCCAGAGATATATTTCATCATACTCTACACCATGTAAACCTACCACCTTTTGGAGGGGGCAGAGGTCATGGCAGCCCTGTCCTCGAGCTGTCCTTTGCTCCCAGAGAAATGCCAACACTTCCGTTGTGTCCTCTTCTCCCTTATGCAGCCATTGTTTGTCTTGTTGTGTTTATAGATTCATAGATTCATAGCTATTAGGGTCAGAAGGGAACTCAATAGATCATTGAGTCCGACCCCCTGCATAGGCATGAAAGAGTGCTGGGTTCAGATGACCCCAGCCAGATGTCCATCCAACCTCCTTCTGAAGACCCCCAGGGTAGGGGAGAGCACCACCTCTCTTGGGAGCCCGTTCCAGACCTTGGCCACTCGAACTGTGAAGAAGTTCTTCCTAATGTCCAATCTAAATTTGCTCTCTGCTAGCTTGTGGCCATTATTTCTTGTAACTCCCAGGGGCGCCTTGGTGAATAAAACCTCACCGATTCCCTTCTGTTCCCCCATGATGAACTTATAGGCAGCCACAAGGTCGCCTCTCAACCTTCTCTTGCGGAGGCTAAAAAGGTCCAGGTTCTCTTGTCTCTCCTCGTAGGGCTTGGTCTACAAGCCCTTAACCATAGGAGTGGCCCTTCTCTGGACCCTCTCCAGGTTAT